GGGGGGGAGGCAACTTGTTCAAACCCCTCAGAGTCAGGAAGAGGGGAGGCTACTCATTCTGAAGCCTCATAGTCAGGCTGTGGGGAGGCCATTTGCCCAGAAGCCTCAGAGTCAGGCAGCAGAGGGGCCGTTTGGGCACTGAGTCCTAAATATAAGTCCTCTTGTTCCAATGCCTGACCCTCACTGTGAGCCTCTGGCCCTTTCTCGCGAGCCAACGCCTCTGTCGAGCCGTTAGGCACAACATGGTGAGACCAAGACCACTTACGGCGTGACTGATTTGGGACTTCCATCCAGCAAGCTGTAACCCTCGACTCATGGATAGTCTTCATCTTGTGATCCGTCCACGCGTTGAAGAGCCCTGAACTGTCAAAGGGCATCTCTTCAATCCAGCGTTTCATCTCGTCTGGAAAGTTGCAGTTCCGAAGGCAGGCATGATGATGGAGGGCTATGGCACCGACAAGAGTACTAGAGTTGGAATCGATATGGTGTCTCGCCATGGAAAGCTGCTGGACTGCCACCTGCATAACCTCTTTAATGAAGATTCTAGCCAGGTTTTTCTGCTAAATAAAGTATTGGTATAGAGCCAGCGTGGCCTCATAATTGGACATGTGGAGACCAAGTCTTGTAGCGGCATAGATCCAGTGAGCCAACATGTCAATCTTGTGACCCTCTTTTTCGCAGGGGGGTAGTGTGTCCTCTCTACTCACGTCCTTGGGATGACCAACCAACTATCGAGTTTGGTCTCGGATGATGCAGGAGGAATGGAATATCCTGTTTACGGACTCGATACATGGCCTCGAATCGTCGTGAAGTGGGTTGAGGCTGATTAGGATAGTTCCACGGTTCCATCCTTGCCTGGCAAAGAGTGGTACTAAGTGGCAAAAAGATGGCGGCTGACTGTTCACCTTTGACAATGTTGTAAAAATTTGTCGGTATTGGGATCGAAGTGGTGCTGGGTCTCGATCTCAAGTGATCTCGTAAGTATTGCTATCAGTTCCCCAAAGATTACATAGGGTTCCTCCAGTGAGCTGGGACCCTGTGTAGATTTTTTTTTTTTTTTTAGATTTATATTCTGCCTTTTTCCTACAAAGCGCTCAAAGCAGCTTACCTCATTCTCCTCCTCCATCTTATCCCCACAACAACAACCTTTTGAAGTAGGTTGGGCTGAGAGTCTGTGACTGGCCCAAAGTCACCCAGTTGGCTCCATGGCTGAGCGGGGACTAGAACCCAGATTGTCTGAGTCCCAGTCCCATGCTCTTAACCACTGCACCACACTGGCTTTCACCGCCTTTGGTTAAATCGATGCCACTTTGGAGTCCCCCAAGTCCGAATCATAGTGAGGCGGGAGACTAGAAGAAGAATCAATAGGCGAAGTAGGACGCCTAGACTGAGTCGCTCTCGAGATCGAAGGAGCATCTCTTGCTACCAGAGAGAGGGTACGATCGCACACCAACGGGTAGTAACTGTAGGGCAGATAATCATCCCATGGCTCGCAATGGGATGGCCTATGGGGCGGCTGCACCCATTCTTCCAAGGGATGAACGGAGGCGGAGGCACGCTACTGATATCGCTCCTGCTGAGCGGCAGCCCTCGGGAAAGGCTCGGGTGATGGTTGTGGAGTAAGTGAACGAGCCATTGGAGGAGAATCCCGAATCCCTCTGTCAGGGATTGATTCCAACAAGGGAATGTCCTGTTGCTCATGGGAGGACTGGACCGAAGATGTGATCTGTCTGGGAGACCCAGGCGGGGTCACTTGCACAGCCAACTGGAGGGCCGGTCCAGTCGGAGTTGGTACTGAGACAGCCATCGGAATTGACGGGGCGGACGAACCCGAATCACGCTGCCTGTGATGATTGGGTTTCTTAGGCTTACGAGCCAACTTCTCCGTCTTGTCCTTCTTAGGCTTCTTATGGCCTGAGGACTTGTCGGATCCGCTATGCTTCCTCTTCCCCGTTTGTTTGTGCGGAAATGAAGAGGAGTGTTGACCCTCCAGCACCATCAGCCGACGGGAGGTGTGGTGGAAGTGGAGGACGGAGGAACAGATTTGCCCACCAGTTGGTCAGATTGGAGCAGGGCTTGGTCCCACAAGAGTTTGCACAGGTGATTCTCTCAATTTTTCCTCGCCTGCTTGGTAAAGGCCTGGCAATGGGGACATTATGGATCCACACTGAGAGCACTTGCAGAAAAGCCGCATGCTGCACCATCGAGAAAGAACGAGATGATAGCAAAGTAGATAGAAAGAGGAGTAATATTTTTTTTTGGACAGGGAAAAGGGGGAAATTGAGAAGTAAACTTCTAACAGGGAAGAAGTTAGTCAAACTTGAATAAACGTATACAAACTGAAAGATGAAAGGCTTGAGGCACAGCAAACGGCAGTCGCAAGAAGACTGAGGAAAGAGCGGGCACTCCGCCCTTTTATACCATGGAGGGGATGGGTGTGGAGTTCCCGCCAAAACTGTTAAGCTTTTGAATCTTTCCGGCCAGAGGCACTGCGCAGGTGCAGCACCCATATGCGTGATGCACAGAGGCCACGACGAAGAACCAAGGTTCAATTTGGATGCCAAGAAGTACTTCCTGACAATTAGGATCCCAAGGGTATGGAATGGGCCTCCACGGGAGGTGGTTGAGGCCCCATTGGTGAGGGTGTTCAAGGACAGGCTAGACATGCCCATGGTGGGCATGTCATGAACGGAGCCAGCTGAAGCTGCGGGTCAGACTAGATGGCCCGGGAGACCCCTTCTGACTTGCTGCTTCTGTGTTTCTAATGTATATATGCTGAATCTGGACTACCCATAGATGGAGTTCAGTCCATGATACTCTACTGCCAAAGAATGGGGAAGTCTATTTTCATCACTCCCTTCTATGTCTCCTGAAAGGCTGTTCTAAGGACTCTCAGAAACAGTAAAAGATGGAACAAAATGCATCAAAATCAATTCAAAAAGATATTTTGATAGCAAGTTAAGCAATTCTAGGTAAGTTAGCAATATCAAGTTGATAAACTTTAAATTATACATGCATATTCATAGTCCCACACGTACTTTTAAGGCATACATAGAATACTTGCATATAAAGGCTATTCTTATTTTAAAAACAGAAGTAGGTTCACGTACACAAAACAACACACACATTCACCTGGTTAATTTATTACATTGAAAGCGGCCACATTTGTGGGCACTGGATTTCCTTCACTGCAAAAAATCACTCAGAGGCACAGCATACTAAGAACCCAAAAATGTCAATTCAAAAAGATAAACGTTGCAGTTATTACCTGAGTAGGTGTAATTATAGGAACACCGCCAACAATCTCTGTTCTGTAGGACATTTGTTTCTTCAAACCCTTATTTTCAGTGTGAGATGCTGGATTATCAGTGTGAGACAGTGAATCTGCCTGCTTTGGTACCTGAAAAATAAATTAATGATACATTGATTGCATAAAGCATTGGCAAAGAGGAGAGAAGGGAAAACAATTTGAAGCCAGTAAATACTAGTAGAAATTATATGGTCTGAGTTACTGAACTGTACTCTCTAATTTTGAGACAAAACACTTTGCATATGTACTGGGGTGAAGGAAACAGATAAAAGATTTTGAAAGTCCAGTAGAGGGATGTGTGAGAATTCCCTTTGTCCCTGTGAAAAAAACCCTGCTCAGCCCTATCAAAAACAAAAACAAAAACAAAACACCCTGTTTTAAAACAAAGCTTGAGCTTTAACAGCTCCTGTCAAAACTGAAAGCTCTCATAAATAGGAAGGCCCACTTTTTTTTTTCATTTTCCCAAGCACCCAGAGGTTTGGAAATTAATGAAGAAGATACAGGGCACTGAGAACTGAGGTCCACATATAAAAACTAAAGACTATTCCCATGAAAGGATTGAGCTATTGACCATCTCCTTTCATGAAAAAAGATCCATTCATTGCTTCTTTTTTTTTTACTTGATAGCTCACTTTTTGACAACTGTCAGGAAAAGCAAAGCAACAATTTAATCTATTTGCTGCCTACGGTTTGTTTTCTTGGTGCCGATTCCTCTTACACTTTGAAAGGAAAAACTTTCCATGACATTGATGAGACAAGTCTTTTAAAAAGTTCAAGCCCCTAAATATGCAGGTGTGAAAGAGGCTTGCAAATTTCAAAGCCACCCCAAAAAACCAAGGAAACAAAGAACAGTGTGCTGTCCCTAGCTGATCAGAAACTGTGGGATCCTATTGCATTTAAACAAAACCAAATTTCTAGAGTTTACCCACCCATTGTCCAGTATTCCCCTATCTGCACACACGCACACACATGCATATATGCACACAACAACAGTCTAGTGAGACAAAAGCTATACTCATTTCCTTTTAAATCTGTTTAACAAATCCAGCTGAATCATACTCAACAATTTACCAGTGATATAAGTTAAGCAAATCTACATTTAATTTCCTAAATCCCCTTTGGAACCCATTACTTAACATTCAAGTTACATTAGCAATCTCTCTGACATTCTGATAAGGATGCTGCTTCACATAAATTATGCACTTTAGCTAAACCAGGGTTCCCAATGCAATGCCAGGCTGAGGCATTTGCCAACGTTTTCCCCCTAGGCAAAAGAATGGAAGAATTCCTCCATTCATATCTATAGGGAACAAAAAAAAAAAAAAGACTCCCCTGTACTGTACCATGCCCCCGCCCCCCCAAAAAAAGCTTGGAGCAGCAAGATCCTTGACAGATAAGACTTTGCCTTGTTTCCAGCTGAATTTGATCATGAAGACTTCTCAACCCATGTAAATGGATGAAAAAATTGTTCCATTCAGTTACATAATCATGGATAAAAGGAAGGAAAGAGAAGGAAGGACCCACAGAAATTGGGGAGCCAGAAAGTGAAAGTATCCAGAGAGACAGGGAGGGAGGGAGGGAGGGAGGGAGGGAGGGGGCAGGCAGAAAGGAAAACAAAAAGAGAAAAGGGAGCCAGGGACGTGGAAGGGAGAAGCAGAAGGGGGAGAGGCCATAGTGAATGGTTCACACATGGTGCACTTTAATTTCACATACAGAGAAAAGGGGGTCACTGCTAGTAAGAGAGGCAGTCATTTCAAAATGCCAAATGTGCCTCTGGCCCCAAAATGGGTGGAGACCCTGAGCTAAAAGTTTTAACAATTTCCCATATGATATCCTTTAGCAACTCAGTGCACTCTGGCACTCCAAGCTATTCAAGGGTTTTCCCCCAGTCTAGGCTTTTCAGAGGCGCAGAAGCCCTTATGTGTGATGCAGGGACATCACAAAGAACCACAAAAATAATAGTGTTGCAATGACAATCTCTTTCCATTACCTACTGAAGTCAATGCTGGTGAAAATAATTCATTCACTTTCTTCAAAAGCCGTATTTAAGAAGAACCTACTGCTCTTTTCTCTGCCTGTCTGTAAAACTACTTGGACATTTCTGTCAGTCAAAGCTTCCACTGGTTCACCTGCAGATCTTGTGCTTCTGATCCGCTTGGGGTCTCTGCCACAGATGTGCGCAAGTCTCCAAAGGCTTACGTGCATTTATTACATGAAGTGAGACATGGCACCTCTCTGCTATCATTATATCCCACATACTGTATTTCATTTATACAGCCATTTTCAGTCAACTATATAAAGCACTCAGGATATGGGTGGAAGGAAGCTGTGGCTATGATTGGAAACAGCATAAACCATTAGCCCCAGCTTTGTTCCCTCCCTGCCTCTGGACACATCCCCTTTTCTCCTCTCCAAGGCCCATTTATGACCTCAGGGAGGCAGCCAGCATGGTCCTTTTGATACCAGATGCAAGCGGGACAGGGCAGCAGCTCAGCCTTCTGAGTCCCAGCGCCAAGATCACAGGAGCTCTGAGCTGGTACTCCAAAAAAATTATATGCCTCCTTTTGACAAAATCAGGAGGGCACAGGATTGTGTCCTTAAAGATAACTAATAAATGACTATTCACAGTACTGAACTAGGCTTATTCTGGATTTGCATTGTCCATGTTCATAACTAGGACAAGTCTCTCATTTTTTAAATACATTCCTCTAGGTTTCTATAGCCTCTTGGATGTTTATTAAACGTGATGGCACCTTTCAGACTTGGGTGTGTTTTCCTTTTTTTCTTTTCTTTTTTAATAGCCTCAAGGTTTCCTAAAGAACCAGACCTTCCCTACCATACACATAAGTGTAAAAGAAGCTGATGTTCTCATTAAAAAAAAACAATTTAGTAAAACACAAATACTGTACTACAAATCCTTTATATATGATCCAAATGTGAAATAAAACTTTAAGATAATTCAGAGCTTGCTAATAGTTTCCAATGCTTTTAAAAAAGCTGTTAACATCTTGCACTATCACTATGGTTTACGTATGAGCTGCATCAGAAAAGAAAAAGGCTATGAGGAAGATTCATTCAAATTATTTAGAGGCCAAAAACCATTGCATTAACGGATGTAAGCATTCTTTCCTTAGCTGAGTATAGCATTTTCAAGAGGGCTTTCCTGAAGCTGCATATGACAAACTTAAAATTATCTAATACCCTGATGAAGGGGTTATGTATGGGTATTGTGTCATGTGGTATCAATATGCTTTTAAGCAAAACAGAAGCTTAAATCAGTAAAAGCAATTCTTCATTCTCAGTACAAAGTATAATAGTAAGCAAGTTACAAATAAGCAGCCAAAGTAAAATGGTTAAAAATTAATAGTTAAGAAGTTAATGTTCTGCCACTTTCTAGGCATACCTGGCTATATATCACATTGCAAAACAAGCAACTTTCTAACAATTCATATTCAATATCTGACAATTCCCTCCTCATCAAAAAATAAACCTTACATTTTAAACAATACAGTATGTTTACAATTATTCTCTGAATCATGTATGGCTGGCTACATGAAAACAATATTCAAATACAACTATTTCCAACCAGTTGGTCATATAATTCAAATTTTCTAGAGTATCCGACAACAACTGGTCAAGCATGATGACCCTATCATCATGCACCAAGTGGCTAGCAAATGGAATTTGCTTAACACAATTCACATAATGATTTGTTTCCTCGTGATCAAACAACAAATTCTGAAAATGAGGCAGGGTTCTCATGTTGCAATTACTTACTGTGATCTTTGTAGCTTTGTTCAGGACATTTATCCATTCAATTAAGTCTTGCTGATCATTGGCTTGTAGAAAGTACTTCCTCATCCCTGCATTCATGACTGTTAAGAAAAGGAATGTGCAGCATTAAGTGAAAAAAATATTATCAAATTCTTCGTCTAGACATTGGAACAAAGAACAAAGACAGAGAGAAGAAAGAGCACTGCAGTTCAGCATTATCTCAAAATATGCAAATTGAAGTCCAATGCCTTACTAGTATACATACATCCTGGAAAAAAAATTATACAGGTAAGACAATTCAAGTAGAGGCAAAGCCTGTATACATGGCCCAATTGTACTGTGAAACCACCACCAACAATACAGTTAATGACATCTTTGCCAGCTTTCCAGGAAAGCACTGCTTTGGGAACACCTGAACAAATTAACTCAATTATACAGATTTTAGCTACTATTTATAAAATTCATAACATCCAACACTTTAATAGTTGCTTAAAATCTAAAACTGGTGTTTGAATATTATTGAGAAGGAAGAGAAATCAAGCAAGATTTTCCAGGCTTGAAGACAGTCGGAAATGAACTGAATTCGTATTAAGGAAGCTCAGTGAAATAGTTTCTTTTCCATTAAACACGGATTAACTTAGCCTATAAAAATGTTCTCATATCCTGTGTAATTCAGTGCAGAAAAGTAATAAAGCTCAAGTTTATTCATGAAGACTTCTCTAAATAGTGTGTGTATATGCATATGTATTAAAGGAGTAGTCAAAGTGAGAATATCTCCTTACAGAATGACTGCAGACAAATCGATGGTCACCTCCTTTAATCATACAAATTAAGTATGCAGCACACTGACACTCAAGTATGTTATGTTACCATGTTTCTTTAACCAGTTATAAATCCAGACAAACAGAAATACAGTAAAAATGGGCTCATGACATAACCAGATGCTATGCATTTGGATCTCACAGTTGCAAGCAACCTGTGGTAAGACAAGTAGCAATCACATGAAAACCACTGTAGTTACCCTTTAAACTAGCCTTGTAACATGTCAAAAAGCCACCATTATAATACACTCCCTGATGCTGCTGTTCTGCATGGGGTTGAACTAAACACATCCAACATTTTGCAATTCTTCATAAAAAATGGGATACTGAATCTGTCAAAAGCATAAGCCTAATTCAAATTTTATGAAGTGCACTTAGCAAGCAGTTCTGAGGATACAGAACTACTGATGAATATCTGACCAACACAGATATTAGCTATTTCCCAGCAGCAATTCGTTCAACTAGAGAAGCACATTTTTCAGTACTTTAATTCACAAAAAACTCCAAAAGCCCATGAAATATGAATTTCAAACCCAAACCACAAGCATATGAATATTCAGTTCTAATAATAGGTCTTCGCCAATCAGTATCAGGAACCTCAGCAGCTTCTTGAAAACCAAGAAGCTATCAAAAAAGCTCTGGGATACAGTTCTACAGAAGATCCAATCAGGGTTAGGTTTAAAAATATATGTCCCAAATAATGCACAGCCTCCACCCACAAAGCATTATTAAATCCATTACTACTAAATGGAAAGAAATGTGACTCTGCCTAAAGAAGGCTATCCACCCATACTCAGTGACCAGGTAAAAAGGGGACTGGTCAGAACAGCCAAGGGGCCAATGGTAATTCTGAAGAAGCTAGAGAGATCATCAGCTAAGATGGGAGCAATGGTCCATGGGACAACCATGGGCAGGATCCAGATGTACAAACAGAGACTTATCCCAAGATGACTCATGGCTATAATTGCCACCAAAGGTATTTTTACCAAGCAGTGACACAACAAATGAATAATTATGCAAAATATGGAAAAGTCAAAAGGGGTGGGGTAACTACTTTTTGAAGGCACTGTACATCCAAAAGCTTGAATGCCTTTGTTTTAAATGCATGGGAATCCAGCAGTATTTTCATGTGCTAATGAAAGCTAAAGCTTTCTTTATAATCAATATACCAGCACGAAAGCAATACAAATCTCAATTTGGCATCATTTTCATCCACAACAGTTGCAACTGCACATCACAATGGGACAGCATTCTAAAGAAATTCGGATGTAGTCTGCCAGATTGTGCCCACTGCAAACTGTGAACCTTCCATCTGTGGTTTATTTGCTATGCCCTGTGATCAGGGAACTCTGGCTTCTCTCTCCCTAAGCAAACCAGAGTAATAACCCAAGAATAAACCATAGCTTATGATTGAGTGGCCTGCAGAGAGGCAAGCCGTAATTCCAGACTCACACATCATGATAAAAGGTAAATCATTTGTTTTGCCACTTCTGCATGTAAAAACTAAGCAGGGGTGTTTAAATAATATGAACCATTCACAATATACCATTCAGAATACTATTTAGAATTCTGGCTAATTGTGACATGCAAACATGATGGCTGATCTGTATTAAACATGCTTGTCAAGTTGTTCTTTGCAGCATATAATGTGAAATTATATGCAACAAAGAACATCTTGGTGAGCATTGTATAACATGTGATTTCCCCCCCAGGATTCAAATGACAGTCAACCCTTACTAAATATCAATGAAAGTTTTGCAACTTACAAGTTAATTTATAGCTAAAATTTGTCCAGAAAGGTTTTAATTAACTTTAATTAGCTTGTTATTTGTAGCTAGGGATGCTATTTTAAATACTGACACTTTTTAATCTATAAAAGGAGTTAATATTATTCACTTTATCTTAGGAAGGAAACATGGAATATAAATAAACTTGTATTTTAAATAGAAACTTCCACTTGTGTCTTATAAGGGAAAAGTATATCCTGGTTTCAGTTTTTGAAAGTAATAATAAGCTAACTTTGCAGTCCACTAAAACTTACCAAAACAGAATTCTGCCTTTGGCCTCAGCTTAGTTGCATCGCTAACCTGATAAAAATAACAGAGTTTACATTACATGCTATAGATTTCATAATCAGCATAAGCTTCAGAAATTAATAAACATAAACACCTTTCAATAGTACACTGATTTGTGGAAAATTAATTGTAAACTTTTGTCCATACACACATAAGCATAATTTTATATGTTCCTTGACCCCTTGGCTCCAAAGTATCCAATTTGCTGGGAAAGGTCATCTAAGCATAGACCTGGCTATACAGGAAATTAGTTTATGAGTGTGCTCTAAATTCCTTAGAAAACATTCCTCTGCTGACATGGACAAATGTGTGATTACCCACCTGCTAGTCAAGTAGCATGACACCTCCAGTGGTTGTAAACATCCTCCCTGCTTCTTTGTGCCTAATGTAATCAAGCCGCACTGTAGTCCTATTCAGAGGCCAGAGAATCTATAGTAAAATGAAGTAAGTTGATGCAACTTGTCTCCTTTGTTCCCAGTACAGGTATACCTTGTTTTCATAGAATCATAGTAGAGTTGGAGGGGTCATGAAGGTCATCAGATCCAACCCCCTGCTGTTGCAGGACACCATGATGGCTGTCCAGTTTTTGTTTTTTAACATCTCTAGTGGGGGAAAGCCCATGACCTCTCTGGGCAACTGTTTCCACTGTCATATTGCTCTGACAGTGAGGAAACTTTTCCTGATACCTAGCTTGAATATGGGTTGTTGCAGCTTGAATTGATTATTCTGTGTCCTACACTCTGATTTAAGCAAGAAGAGATCTTGACGTTCCTCTTTGTGACAGCCTTTGAGGTACTTATAGAGGGATACCATGTCCCCCCTTAGTCTTCTCTTCTTAAGGCTGAACATGCCCAGTTCTCGCAGTTTCTTCTCATAAGGCTGTGTTTCCAAACCCTGGATCATTTTTGTTGCCCTCCTCTAAACTCTAATTTTTCTGCATCTTTCCTAAATCTTGGTGCCCAGAACTGTAGTCCAGTGAGGAGTATAGGGGAACTACTACTTCTTGTGATTTGGAAGTTATATTTCTATTAATGCATCCCAAAATAGCATTTGCCCTTTTTGCAGTTGCACTGCGTTGGTGGCTCATATTTAGCCCGTCGTTTTAGTGTGTTTCAGTTTATTTTACTTTACAGATATTTCCATTTTTTACAGATTGAAGGTTTATGGCAACCCTGCACTGAACAAATCCATTGGTGCCATTTTTCCAACAGTATTTGCTCATTTCATATCTCCGTGTCACATTTTGGTAATTCTCACAATATTTCAAACTTTTCCATTATTGCTGTATTTGTTATGGTGATCTGTGATCAGTAATCTTTGATCTTACTATTGTAATTGTTTTGGGGCACCCCAACTCATGCCCATGTAAGACAGCAAACCTGATAAATGTTGTGTGTGTTCTGACAGCTCTTGCTGACCAGCCATTTCTCTTATCTCTCTCCCTCTTTTTGGGACTCCCTATTCCACAAAACACAACCAGGTCAATTAATAGCCCCATGATGGCTTCTAAGTGCTCAAGTGAAAGGGAGAGATGCACATCTTCACTTTAAACCAAAACCTAGAAATGGCTAAGCTTAGTGAAAAAGAATGTCAAAAGCTGAGACAGGTCAAGGCTAGGCCTCTTGTGCCAAACAACCAAACTGTGAATGCAAAGGAAAAGTTCTTGAAAGAGATTAAAAGTGCTACTCCACTGAACACATGAATGATAAGAAAGTAAAACAGCCTTATTGCTGATATGGAGAAAATTTTAGTGGTCTGAATAGAAGATCAAACCAGCCACAACATTCCCTTAAGCCAAAGCATAATCTAGAGCAAAGCCCTAATTCTCTTCAATTCTGTGAAGGCTGAAAGAGGTGAGGAAGCTGCTAAGGAACAGTCTGAAGCTAGCAGAAGCTAGTTCATGAGGTTTAAGGAAAGAAGCTATCTCCGTAACATAAAAGTGCAAGGTGAAGGAGCAGACGCTGATGTAGAAGCTACAGCATGTTATCCAGAAGATCTAGTTAAGATAAACTAATGAAGGTGGCAACTCTAAACAACAGATTTTCAATGTAGCTGAAACAGTCTTATATTGGAAGAAGATGCCATCTAGGACTTTCATAGCTCAAGAGAAGAAGTCAATGCCTGACTTCAAAGGACAAGCTGACTCTCTTGTTAGGGGCTAATGAAGCTAGTGATTTACATTGAAGCCAATACTCATTTACCATTCTGAAAATCCAAGACCCCAAAGATTTATGCTAATTCTACTCTCTCTGTGCTCTATAATGGAACAACAATGCCTGGATGAAAGCACATTTGTTTATGGTTTACTGAATACTTTAGGGTCCACTGTTGAGACCTACTTCTCAGAAGAAAGATTCCTTTCAAAAATATTACTGCTCACTGATAATGCACCTGGTCATCCAAGAGATTTGATGAGGATGTACAATGAGATTAATGTTGTTTTCATGCCTGCTAACACAACATACACCCCTTCATGGATCACTGCCTTGATGAGGTAAAGGGGCTTGCATAGAGCAATGAAGCTATGAGCTATGCCGAGCAGGACACCCAAGATGGACTGGTCATAGCAGAGAGCTCTGACAAAAGGTGATCCACTGGGGAAGGAAATGGCAACGCACTGCAGTATCCTTGCCATGAAGACCCCAAGGATGCCCCACTACTGATGCTTAAGAGGCTGAAGTTGACCAGTTCTATGAAGACCTACAACACCTTCTAAAAATAACACCAAAAATGATGTCCATATCATCATGGGAGATTGAAATGCTAAAGTAGGAAGACAAAAGATAATCCAAATAACAGGCAAGTTTGGCCTTGCAGTACAAAATGAAGCAGGACAAAGGCTGGCAAGGCTATTTTGTCAAAAGAACACACTGGTCATAGCAAACACTCTTTTCCAACAACCCAAGAGATGACTCTACACATAAACATCACCAGATGGTCAACAAAGAAATCAGATTGGTTATGTGCTCTGCAGCCAAAGATGGAGCAGCTCTATACAGACAGTAAGAACAAGACCAGGCTCAGATCATGAGTTTCTTGTTGCAAAATTTTATTTATTTATTAAAACATTTCTATGCTGCCCCACTTGCCGAAGCCTCGGGGCGGCTCACAACATTAAGTTAAAATACAAACATTAAGTTAAAACATTAACTTTACATAACATTAAGTTAAAATGTTTGTAAAATACAAACATTAAGTTAAAATACAAAAAATAACAATATAAAATAAGTCGCCCTGGCCAGATAGAATCTATTATTATTATTATTATTATTATTATTATTATTATTATTCAGGCTTAAATTGAAGGAAGTACGGAAAACCACTCAGGTATGACCTAACTCATACTCCAGATGAATATACAGTAGAGGTGACAAATAGATTTAAGGAATTAGATCTGATAGACAGAGTGCCTGAAGAACTATGGATGGAAGTTAGCAACATTGTATAAGAGGGAGCAACTAAAACCATCCCAAAGAAAAAGAAATGCAAGAAAGCAAAATGGCTGTCTGAGGAAGCTTTACAAATAGCTGAGGAAAGAAGGGAAGCGAAAGGCAAGGGAGAAAGAGAAAGATACAAACAATTGAATGCAGAATTCCAGAGAATAGCTAGAAGAGATAAGAATGCCTTCTTAAATGAACACTGCAAAGAAATAGAAGAAAACAATAGAATGGGAAAGACTAGAGATCTCTTCAAGAAAATGGGACATATGAACAGAACATTTTGTGCAAAGATGGGCATGATAAAGGACAAAAATGGCAAGGACATAACAGAGGCAGAAGAGATTAAGAGGTGGCAAGATTACACAGAAGAACTATACAAGGAAGATCTTAATGACCCTGATAACCATGATGGGGTAGTCTCTGTCCTTGAGCCAGACATCCTGGAATGTGAAGTCAAATGGGCCTTAGGAAGTCTAAGCAACAACAAAGCTAGTGGAGGTAACAGTATTCCAGCTGAGCTATTCAAAACCCTAAAAGATGATGGAGCTAATGTGCTACACCCAATATGCCAGTGAATTTGGAAAACTCAACAGTGGCCACAGGATTGGAAAAGGTCAGTTTACATTCCAATCCAAAGAAGGGCAATGCCAAAAAATGTTCAAACTACCGTACCATTATGCTCATTTCACATGTTAGCAAAGTTATGCCCCAACCTTCAGCAATCACCACACTGGTCAATCATCAGCCATCAACAATGAGGCAAGACCCTCCACCAGCCAAAAGATTATGACTCATTGAAAATTCAGATGATGATTAGCATTTTTTAGCATTTAGCATAGCATTTTTAAATTAAGGTATGTACATTTTTTAGACATAATGCTATCGCACATTTAATAGAGTACAGGATAGTGTAAATATAACTTTTATATGCACTGGAAAACCAAAAAAATGTGTAACTCACTTTATTGTGATATTCACTTTATTGTGGTGGTCTGGAACCAAACCCATAATCTTTCCTAAGTGTGCCTATACACCTTGCAAGAGTACTCCAATTAAATTCTCCTAATGTCATCACACACTTAACTCCTCTTGATTTAAGCTAGTATACTACTGGCGACAAGCTCTACCTGACTAATATCAACTTGCCAAGTCTGTCAAAGCACAGACCAAGGGCAAAGCAGACTTTCCTATCACACCTTTGACCTAAATTCCTCTAATTGTCTGTGTACTAGAAGGACTTATTCCCTGAACACAACATGTGATATTCCAACTTATTTAGCAATACATGTTCTGAGAAGGTATGCTAATGAATTAAGTAACCACTGCTGCATGGGACTTATACTAAAGATACAAAATTTCCCTGCAGAAACAAAGTAAGGGGGTAAGAATTTAAATATCTGTACTACTTATGACCAAACCTAAAAATGTAATTTATTAGCCTGAGTCACACAAAATACTAAACTTTGATTTAGTATTACATTTGGCAGACCCCAACAAAGCTTCAAGCTTGAGCATTCTTCCTCTACTCTTCACAATTCAATTATGGATAATTTTCCTCAATTCCAGTTTGCCATTATATACAAAGTAGGAATCATGGTATAAAAATAAACTCTAGACAAATGGTACACAAGCCAATCCAAAATATGGCTTATGATGCTAGCTTGTTTAAAGAACTAGAATTCATTTTAAAACATGATTCCTAATTTGTACATATTAAGACAGGAACTAAGGAAAGCAGAACTGATCTATGATCCATTCCTTTTCCTGACTTCCTCCAGGAAGAGAACACAAGGGTAGCCCTTACTTCAGTCAAGTATAGCTAACTCAGCCACCTGTATGCTATATTATTTAGCTTCACATGAAAACTGGTCCACTACTTTATGGACATAAACTAGACAATGTATACCTTAGCATATACATTACCCTATATGGTATACTTATTAACTTGATAAGAATAAAAATAATTATAGGTGTTCTCAATGAGATGAAGCTGTAAGCCCAAGATACCTAAATCTAATCTTATCAACGATGCCATATTTTGCAACATTTGGAAGTATTTTGTCTAATATTCAATCCTGTGTTTTATTTTTAATAATGCAATAAAACACAATAAAATGCTATTGTGGCTAATAGAACTAACTTTGAATATTGGATCCAATATTTACAGTACTATGAATTTGCTTCATAATGATTTTATTTATATTCTACATCCAATGTAACAGTGTCCTCAAAGTAAATGAGATACAACTAGCTTAACTTCCATTCCACTCACAATTCACTCACAATTAAATACATGCTATCCATGCATTTTGTATATGTATATGTTTCCTATCATTCTAATTTTATTCAACTTCACAAGTATATTTTGAATGTTTTCTTACCTAAAATCATTACATTTAAAGCAGCAGATGGCAGATGTTCCAACATACTGTATTTTCCTGTGTACAAGACACTACTTTTTCTTAAAAACATTTACTTAAAAATGGAGGTGCTTCTTATACATGGGGGTGGGAGGGCAGGCAAGCTGGGGGGGAGACTGGCACGTGTGGGGGGCGGCAGCAGCTTGCTCGCTGGAGATTGGTAGGAAAAGTGGGGGGCATCCTATACATGGGGGCATCTTAGAGATGGAAAAATATGGTAACATTAAACTGTGATTTATCATTACAGTAACAGGAGTTCAGTTTGTGCACTCCTCTCTTTTGGTATGGCCACAAGATGATTCAAAATGTTTGCGTTGTTAAACTAATCACTGTTGGTCAGGTTTAGACAAGCAAATTGTGGTTTAATCAGCCATGGTTTAAATTTGGCTTCTAAATCCTAGCTCGTTCAGAAAATATTAACCATAGTGTCCCCATCTGGATTTAATAGCAAGCTCATGCAAATGTGCAATGTGAAAGCAAAGATTGGCATACTGGTACATGAAGCATATACTAGCTTATTAAGCCAAGATTTTTATCATCTGATTGCAGCCACTGGGTCAGTTTGCAAGGTCAAACAGTTCACCATACTGGCCACAGTTTGCTTTACAAACAAGCAGAGGCCATTGTGTGCAATTTAAACAATTCTTGGATAATCCAATAACAGGACATGGATTATGTGAGGGTTATTTAACCCTCACACAACCCCCACTATCTAGGTTCACAAGGAACAAGAAGCTGTTCTCCAACACTGAATATGCAAATTCTATCCAGTGAACAGTTTTGATCATGTAAACATGGTATCTATGTCCTAGCTGAGAAAAAACTGTGGTTAGTTTTATCCATGTTCTGTGCAAACAAAGCAACTTCAAACCATTTTTTACAATGTTGACTTGCTGATATAAACTACTGTTTAAAAAATTGCAGTTCCTTTCTCTCTCTCATCTTAAAAAGCAATGGCTACAAAGAAACATGTCTTCAATTAAAGTGTTAATTTACTGTGCCGAATTTGTAAACTTTTACTTCAAATTACACAAAACATAAGTATTATCAAAAGGTCCTATAAATTTAAAAATGTAATGTTTTGAAGACTATCTGCATACCTTTGAAATGTAGGTAAGTTTAATGGAACCAACTGATGGAGATCCAGAAGGAAGATTCTGCAATCAAGAAAAAGCATTACAGTGCAAAATAAGTGCTACCACTTAAGACAATACATCTCCTTCAAAATTTCAGATAAATTACTTCAAAAGTACAATTCACTGAAAATAAAATTTCTCTAACCTAGTATTTTTGGAACAAATTTTAGGGTTTGTAATCCAAAGAACCACTTCTGAAATGACCCGTTGCCAAGTCCAATAATTAAATCTAACACAAATCCCACACTGCATTTATCTCTTGAATGTTAACTGGGGACAGACTTGGTGTGTACTTGGTGCAATGGTTAAGACTGCTGAGCTGGGACTCAGGATAATTGGGTTCTAGTGCCCACTCAGCCATGGAGCTAACTGGGCGACTCTGGACCAGTCACAGACCCTCACTCCAGTCAACCTCACAGGTTTGTTATTGTGAGGATAAGATTCAGAGAAGGAGAATTATGTAAGTCACCTTGAGTTCTTTGAAAGGAAAAAGAGGCAGAATATAAATTTAATAAATAAACGAGCACATATTTAGCCCAAGATCCCCAGGTAGTTGATGTTCAGTATACAATCAGTTTCCTAAAACTCTAATCCCCAATCACTACTTTCAGTAGAAAATATTTTCAAATAAATCTGACTAGGTCTGTTGTCTAAGGCAATCTTAGCAAACATGGTACCCTCCAGGTGCATTGGATTAAAACGCTGGGATCAATATTATAGCCCAACATATCGAAAAAGTGCTAGCCTGGAGAAGGCTACTCTAAGGTACTAAAGTACAAAATAGGAATCATATGAATAATTCAGATAAATTTTCACTTTGCCCCCTAATTCTAACAGAATAGTTAACATAACCAACACTCAAACAGAAGGGTTACAGGTCAGCACTTTTCTCAAAATCTTCTAGTTAAATTCAGCCCAAGAATACTGCTATTAAATAGCAAGAATTTAAAAAGATATTCCATAGTGGTTTACCTGTGGATTATCCATGTACCATACCAAATTATCTTCTCTTGTGTCCAGTATAAAATATCTCCGCAGAAACTTTCCACTATTTTCATTTTCTTCAATATCTAGAAAACCACAAATACGATTTTGACGATCCACATAAGGCATTTCTGAACTTGAACATTACACTGCAAAACAAAAAGTAGAAAGTATTTACTTTACTAGAAATATATTAATTATACTTGTCCAACAGCTAATTTCATTTAACAAACACAATTCTCAGTAGTTCCTTTTCACAAAAAAGCATTACTCAAATTATTCCCACTTGTGAGAAATCCAAATTCCATATTTGTAGCAAAGGTCTAACAAATATTTGCATTCAATATATTTTGGTGTATCACTGAACTTGGTGAAAACCATTAATGAAGTTATACCAAATGCTGGTCAAAACCCATCTTTTCTTACAAGTGTTAAAGTGCACTGCAATACATAACATTACCATAAAATGTAAAAAAATAACAGAATTACATGAAAATGCTGCAGTAGCACCTCAAACAACTAAGATATAGGCCCTGTTCACATATGATGCTAAACCACGCTGCAGTGCAGCCTATTTGGCTGAAGCTTCCAGATGATTCCATGTCCCCCTTTTCCTCATTTCTCCCCAAATGGCAGCACGTATCTCATCAGCCTCTGTAACTGAAATTCAATCCCAGAGTGCCTTGCTCCTGCCCACTTTGCCAGATGCTTCTTAACTGACCCACACACTCCCCTGGGCATGTCCTCAACCTGCTGCTGGCGGGGGGGGGGGGGAATCCTGCTCAGCCAAGGCAACCACTTACTCACTAGAGTAGCAATTTAGCCTCCAATGTGCTGCCATTCTCTTTACCAACATATAAGCATACCCACCCACATGCACACCTCTGTCCTGCCCCTCCCTTGCTGGAGTTATGTTCCTGTTTCCCTGTGCACAGAACTCTCACATGCTGGAAGAGTATGCCCTGCCCCCTGCAGTCAGGCACCCAAAGGCATCAGTGCAGACACACTATACCCTCCCACTCCCACACCATGGCTGCAGCCAGGGTCATCCAGTGCTCCACACCATCATTCTCAGAAGCCCCTTGCCAACCTGCATCCACACTGTGATGCACAGAGGCAGCTCTGGCAGGCACCCTCTCCTGTGCCAGGCTGTGCTGTGAACACCTCAATCTGCTGCTGTCCCCAGTCCTCTCCACCCATCCTTACAGCCAGTCCTCTTCACAAGAACCACACCACTGTTGCAAAATGTGTTATTTCTGCAGCATCACAGGGATTTGATTGAGGGAAAGGGTGGCTGCATCAGAGAGAAAGGCATGCCAGGTATTAACAAAAGCAGTCTCTTCTGGCTGGTATGTGAAAAGCTACAGCAAAGCAGCTCAGAAGCAGTTTTTGTGCGAACTACTGTGACCAGACAGGAGTGCCAAGCACACCTGCCTCCAAGGTCACTGCTTGAGGCAGCATACCATGCTTCTCTACTGCCAGTGGCATTCCCAAAACTGCAGGTGGGCACTGGGAGAACAGCGGGAAAGCCAGAGGCAGGAGACATGTGGAACAGCCAACTAGAGCTGACCCATCAATTGCCAGGCGGATCAGGATAGCAGAGACTGCATACAGGAACATCTCTAGCAGCAACCACTCTTTTCATAGGACTCTGTGGTAACTCCATGACCATCATGTTTCTGGTTCTGATGACAAAATAAGCCATGGTGAAGCATGGAAACCATACATAGCCTGTTGTTTCTCTCTGTACTGCCATGGAAACCAATAGTAACATGAAATAAGTACCCAACAGGATTCAGACAACATGACAACTATACCAAAGTGGCTTCCAATGTGGCTTGTTGTTCTGTCTGAATATAGTCTAGACCAGAATATAATCCTAGACCAGACTTTCTAAAATATGCTGGTGCTTTGTCTTCTTTCCATATGACCAGGTATAGCCCAGATCCAGCCATTCACATGTGATTGCTGTGTGAAGTTTCTACATTCTTTCTCATGTTTATTACTGTTTTAAAGTTTGGGCAAAAAGAGAGTGAGTGCTATTAATGAAGAAATACTGGGAGGGCTAAGAAAGAGGTGGAGCAGGAGAATTAGGGACAAAGAAATAAAAGGGGCAAACTGGCATTCTTGATTATATTTAATTATTATTTGTTTGCCCTCCTTATCCTCTAAGCCTCCAATCAAGTATAAATTCACAGAGTAATCCCTTCTGCTACTAATACTAATAAAACAACTTATATCTGAATCCAGGGAATACTACAAGCTATCAATCTAAAGGCAGATACTTGCTTTCTCAATGCAAATTAATTTCAAGTATGAATAGCTGTTTGGATAGAGTATAAATATTTCCTATTAGATGAATAATCAGATTAGATCTTTATTTCAACAGAAAGCCTCCTTTAACTCAATTACACAACCATCCATCATGGATAATTAGCTAAGATGGGTTGCACAAAGTCTGAACCCAGACCACTTTCCACAGGCTGACTTTTTGGCAACAAGCCACTCTGACAGCCCTCAGCACATCCCACAGGCTGTTTGATCTACAGCAGTTGTTATGTCCTGCAAACCTCAGAGAACAATTTCATGGTGGTAGATTGAGAGGATCAGCTAGCAAGCTACTTGAGAACAGCAGCATAATACCCCACACTTCCTTGCCCTTGTCACCACCAGTGCTCAAATGGTATTCTGGAACTGTCACTGGTTCATCAGTCTTTTTAAAAAAGAAAAAGTGAAGCCTCAGGAAATTACGCAACTCTGTTTTTTGTTGTTATTGTCATCAATCTTTTACAATTGCACAAGAGTGTTCTTACAGCTGTCTGACAGGTCAATTTCCTTATATGTTTCAACTGTCAAAGAAAACTGCTAAGTAGAATAAGTAAAATACATAGCAACTGACAAGGCTGATATAGGCTAATGGGCACACTGTTGCTTGCCACTGACCAACTGCCAAGTTGCCAATTGAAAAGCACCAAAAGGAAGAATAAAGCAGCAGAAGTATGTACAACCGGAGGGGGGGGGGAGATCCTCCACTTAATTAATAATTTATTAATTTCACCTCTTTCATGTTTTCTTTTCAGAATACATACAGTAACAGTTGCTGTGATTTGTAGACAATTGCGCAATTTTCTGGGGCCATTTTAAAAGAATGCAACTGCAATTACACATTTTTAAGGCTCTAAGACAAACAAAAAACAGCAGCAGATAAAAGTAGTAGCAATTGGAGAAAGATGGGGATTCAAGACTAGTTCTGCTGCAGAGGACACTACCATTGTCATGCATGTCTTTGATATTTAAATTTAGTAACTGCTTAAAAAGCTTGTTCAAAAGTGAGAAAGTATACCATTTTAGTGAGTTAATCAAAATATTTGCATTAAAATCTGAAGATCTATACTTGTTTGCTAAGGTGCCTTAACACCATCCACTGCTGAGTGTAGTTGGGTGTACAGGCATAACTATTATACTTTTTGTCAGAACAAGTTATGACATTTTAGCTATGTATGCATGTCATGAAATCACCCTTTCAATAAGCTAAATGGTTTCGGCAGCTGTGACTGGTTGGTCATTAAAAAAAAAAAAAGAACTCAAATTTGTTCAAATGTCCTTGCCTTTTTATATATATTTTGGACTTCTGTAATTGTGGTTCCCATACTTCCAGGTGGTAAAGATGAAAAGTCTTGCCTCAACAATGGCTTGAAAAGTGTTGCCTGTCAAAGTGCAAGGTGCACCATCCAGGAACACTGACTAAAAGGGGAGGGGAAAGCCACAAAGAAGTTAACTGTTGCTTTGCTTCACCTTACAACTGTCAAACAGTGAGTTGCCAAGTAAAAGCAAAGTCACAAAAATATTGGTGAAAACTGGTGGCCTGCACTTACCTGCTAATTTTTAAGATTTGACCAGATGCTCCTCAGTGACCTGCACCTTTTTCAACCTTTCCCTAGGTTCTAGGTACGTGGGAAGTGAGAGCCATTCCATTTACAGGAGCTGTCTAAATTCAGGCTTCCTTTTAAAATGCTTATTTTGACAAGGCCCCTCAAAGTTTTTTGACAGGGACAGACATACACATATGCATTCAAACTCCAGCTAGACTGCTGAAGGGGATAGCACTCTGACCTCAGAGCTGGGAATCAGAGTTCTAGCCTCCTCTCCTTATCCCCTCATAACCAGTGAATAAAGAACTAGACTGGGTTGCCTCCAAAGCTAGGAAAACAATTTGGAGAGGGTTTAAAGGAAGCAGAGGAGGAGACTGGAGTCAGCAGGGTCTGAGATATTCTGAAGCCGCTCCAATCTCCTTTCCCTCTCCAAAATGTTCCAGTAAGACAGCTAAAAAAGCCCATTTAGCAAAACACACACACACACACACACACAGGAAAAGGAGTGGGAAAGTGAAAATCACCTAAGTTGCTCTTTCTGTTCTGCACTGGATGTCAAAAGGTCTCTGAGTTCAGACATTTACAAAGATCCAAAAGTACTGTGAGCTCATTTCTGTTAGAGTAACATTTCACAAAGTAACAAAAATGACCACAGTGCCCTTGCATTTCCTCCACTTTTGAGCACATAGCTTAAACATTAACATCCTAATTAAATTGAATCATAGGTTGCTGTTTATATCCAAATCAGGATTGCCATTGGAGGAATCAAAAAATGACATCTAAAATTAGCCAGAATGTTAAAACTGCATTGTGACTAATTCTCCAAAAGATAAGTTATATTTGTCTACGGAATAAGTCCAAGAGATAAAGTGAGAACTCTTTCCTCTTCTCTCCTCCTCCTATGTGGCTGGGTGAACAACTATTTCATTTCACTTGCTCCAATGCCTAGCATTTAATGTGCAGGCTGGCTGAAAAACGCAAGTAATTAGCATTTGTAGGTGAGTTGTGAGCAATTGCCTAGAATTTATTTTAAACCACAATGTTTGCTTCACGCGTAAGCCAAGAATCAAGCAAAATAAAATAAAAAGTTGGCTCACTCCTCTTCCTCACTGTCTGAGGAGCAATGTGCTAGCCCAATATTTTTTCCTAGACTCCTCTCTGTTTCTGCAAGTACAAACCTTTCACCTGTGCCCTTCTACCACTGTTCAAATCAGCAATAAGTCTCCTACCAACTGCTTACCACTTTGTATTTCTAAGGAAAAAGCAGAGCACTATCC